TGAGATCTTTACGATGCAAAGTCACTGATGACTAAGTAAGTAAATTAAAGGCGATGAACAAGGCCAATTTCTCACTAATCGTTCACTTCCGAGAGAAATGTATGGCGCTATTATATGCTTTGTCTTTTGTGTCAGTCTAAAAATACCAATACAGCGACGATGCGGTGATAAGGCCATTGATGGATAGCTGTACTAGTTTTGGCAATTTCCTAAAGTCATTCACAACGACCACAAAATGGCCCAAAATAGCTACTTGTCTCGTTGCCCCAAAAGGCCACGAAAGGCACGTCGCTATTCGGTTCATTGGATTGGCCGCGGTTTATACCCCCCCCCCCCCCCACACACACACACACACGGTCCCGGACAACAGCGCAGATTTCAAGTAGACGCTGACAACAACCTTAAGAAGCAGATGTCAGCGGGTTCTACCTCGATCAACGCATTCATCCAATAAAGCCTGCCGTTTGCCTGTAGCAAAAGGCAGAAAGAACAAAAGTGCTAGCGAGGTATACATTTGCTACTTAAAGTCGTCGGCAGCCGTTCACAGTTGTAAGCGTAACACATTACTCGTTAACTGGCAACGATAGAGGCGTAAGGAACAACACGGATCTCATCTGGTGGTCCGGTTGGAAAATTTAAATACCCGAACATTATTGTCGGAAGGCGACGACGTATGGTATTTTACCACAACCCGGTAAAACTATAGTCAGAGGTGGACGGTAGGCTAGGGCGGCGCGCAGAGAGGTCAGCGGGGGTTGTCACGTTCGCAGCTGGATTGATGTTGCTTCTTGGCTAGCTGCCGTCAACGCAATAGGAATGTCGCACGCAGGTGCATTTAAAAATGGGGAAAAAAAACGACGAAAACGAACAATTGAATACAACTGTCGCTGCTCGAAGGCTGACCCACGGAAGTAGCTAACGTTCAAATTTACGCTTCTCCACGATCACGCCGTAACAGCGGGGGCAGCAGTATTACAAGCAGAAGCCCTCGCCCGGACACCAGTAGTGGTTGTAGTGACAGCCTGCGCTAGCGCTGGCTGTATACAGCCACCGTTAGCACAGGCCGTATCTATAGACGTTCGACTTTAACTGGCAACTGACTGTTAGCTCTGACGGCAGTACAAAGGGTACCGGAGAATGACCATGAACCAGGAAAAGCGCGCGATGATTGGGCGCTAGCTAAATCTCCCCCAGACACCAGTCGCTTTTCGGCATTGCCGCATCGCTGTTCTGCTGCCGCTGCGTTCGCGGTCCATACCTTCCACAGAATGGCCGTCCTATTAGGAAAGTCCCCGAACGTTATCTCAATGTTTGTTGCTAGTTTTTCGTCATTTGACGCCCAAACCGCCAGTGACTGATATTCACCGGTTTACCGCTATTGTTATGCTATATATATATATATTGTAGCGTATGGTCTTTCTTGTTTTCGGCTGGCTGTGCTAAGGAGGCCTATGTGCGGCGTGTTTGCGGCGTCCGCGCTGGGACGCTGCCGAGTAGGTTCACTTTGGGAGCACGTGCCGTTTATGCGCGTTCCTTAATATTACGTAATGACCCCCCCCCCCCCCCGCGCGAACGTCGCTCGATTCGACGATATCATAGGAGCAGCTGTGGCGCTAGTAGTAGTAGTAACGGTTAAAAATCGATCCGACATTTGGCTAGTTGCACTAGTCGTATTGATGACTAATGGCTCTGTATCGCAGCAAATTGGACAGTTCTTACCGATGCTCTTCCTGCGGGTCTTGCAGCTACAAGAAAAGCTCACGGGGTGAAAGGAGAATATCCATGACAGTAGTAATAACAGCACGATGTGCGAGCTAACTGACCGTTGACGCCATCAACTGCGTGGAGACAACCAGTTTTACACAGACCTGCTGTGCCAATTGACCGCTATCGTGTTTCGTATCACATTGACTTCGGATCGTTCAGATCGACAACGTCATGGTACCATGTACTGCGTGCCGACTTGTGTCGACATCTATCTACCATCGTCCCACCGACGTCCACACGGTTCCCTCCCACCTTCGACAAGCACCTGTTTGCCTCCTGCCTCAAATGCCCACTGGCTTCTATAGCTATTTAACCACGGATGCTGTAGGGCGTACGCACTATATGCGTACATTGACGACAATAGCTTCGCTGCTAAACCATGACGCTGTTGCTTGGTTCGCCCGTTCAGTTTTTCGACTGTCGAATGACTGGGGTTTTCACCTCTTTGTTACCAACCGTCGATTTCAACGCTAAAACACCGATGCCTTCTGACTGTCAACTATTTGTCAAGACCTCTGTGGAGCCTGGCCACAGGCCCTGATGAAATTAACGCCTGCTTGTCCTTGCAACGCTTCAACGTATCAAGAAGGCTCACACTTTAGCGTTTTAGTGGCCTGCTTGATTGAATAACACCGCCAATCTACTACCCTGCGCTACTAATCGCGCGCTGCTATGATCTCAGCAGTGAAAGTTATAGAAAGTGAATTCGAAACAACAGGTTGATCAATTTGTCTAGAGCTAAAGAATGTTATTCGTTGTTAGTACCAGCAAAAAATGAGCTATAGCGAGATCGTAACAGAAATAACAACAAAACGACAACAATTATGATAATGACAAAACAAAACACTGGCAAAACTATCCCACATTTAGCATATACAAGCTTAAATAGCTTTAGAAACCATGTTTTATTTGCATTAAAAATAATGCTTGCTTCGTTTTTTTAGACCCCCGAAAGTGTGACAACAACGGTGTTTTTTAGCGCACACATCGATTCCGTTTGCCTTTAAGCGGCTTCACTGCCGGGTCGATTGATGAGAGCTGGTTCTGTATACCGCCCCTTCCACTTATCCATGTGTCCGTTCGACGCGTAACTATAACTGTGGAACTAGCTCAACCGCTGACGCCAGCATAATTGATGAATAAGACGTTATATCTAACTGGAAGGGCGGCCATCTCAAATCGGGCCAAAAGGCTACTCCTCCTTTAGTCGGAAGAGACGCCTAAGTAGACAGACCATCGCACTCTTTGATCCGTTACCATTGACCCCCGCCTTCTCTGCCGTCGGTCCGTGCCCGGCCGGCGGCCTGGACTAAGTCGTTACGTAGGCGCTTAGTGGCGGCCAGATGGACATGCCCTAGTCTGAAAAGTCGGTGGCTGTTGCAGCGCCAAGCAACAAGAGCAATGGCAAAAACGATAGTGTTTAAAGTAAGCGGCCAGTTGACTGAACAAATAAACCCCCTGTGGCTCTGGCCCAGTAATACCAGCAAATCTAAGTTAACGGCAGAAGTTGAGATGACGGCAGAAATTCATTGAAAGCGAAAGTAATATGAATAGAGCAGATTATTTAAATCGAAGCAAAGAACCAAGAAATAGCTAATGAAGGAAATAATTTCTTTTCAGGAAGAGTAAATTCTAGGAGTCGCATCAGCAGTAGCAGCAAAGACAGTCGATGCCGCAAAACGGGACCAATGACAAAGTGGCAATTTCAGAACCAGAGACAACGACACGCGGAGCATCAGGAACATGCAGCAGAACGTTTACGGCCATAGACGTGCTAATCACTCACGTTTTTCATACACACGATTCCGTTGGTTCGTTCGCTCGGTTAGCGGTGACTGGCGTTCTCGAACAGCGTTCTCATCGTTTGTTGTAGGACGTTTAAGGAGCCAGTGCATCTAGGCTGCCACGAACCAAAACATTACTATCAGCCTCTTTCCTCTCAAGCCCCTGTTTGTAGCTTCCCATTCAGACACAGGCGCGTTAGGATTATCAAAAAAAAAAAAAAGAAAGAATAGTGCCACCGCAATGGCTATTATTTCTAACCGACAGCGCGTATCTAACCCGCGTGTTCACTTTCTTCACAATGGCCAGCTGTCGAAGCGCACGCGAGCAGGCAGGCAGCCAGCCAGATCTACGGATTTAAAGTTGTGACGCAGGCTAGCCAATGGCTAAGTCACAAATTGGGGCCACAAAGCTACGACTGTTCTTATTTATCACCAACGTATACGCATAACGACAAGTAGCGACTTTCCAATAACAGATTTCCTCGATGGTTAGCAGCGTTCAGTTCAGCCGAATTCTGCAGACGAAACAACTAACTAAATTCGCTACGACGGCAACGAGACTCGATGTTATATCGATGCTCGCGCGAAACCACATTTATTTTTCTCCTCGAGAAAAACGATGACCGTTGTCGAAATTGGTGGCAGTTTAGAAAAACAAAAGTTATGGAAGATGCCGAGAAATGCAGAAAGGCGAGATAGGAGTAAGGGATCGAGAGGGCGGTAAAAAGGCTGAGTTGCGTTCGCTTGTTTTTTCTGGCAGACGGAACGTCAGCTGACATTGTGGCTGGCTGATGACATAGCCTGGGGCAGTACGTTGTGAAGTGTATGTGAATCGAACTGGTGGGTGAGGTGATCTGTCAGAGAAACAGAAAGGAAAGACAATGCACCACAGACAGGAACAAAGTCCGGGAGAATTATCTAGTATGATAAAAGAAAATAGAAATCAGACGCGACAGTCTTATCTGTAACTAGCGGCAAACGACTCTCCTATAAGCGTATGGAGCAATGAAAAAACAGGGCCCATCAAACGCAGTGTCCTAAGAGTGAGTTGTTCCATGACGGTAAATATGTTGACTGTGTTAGCCTGATACAAACAGACTTCGTACAAGATAGGTACGACGTATAAACTGTTGATACACTGATGAGATGATAACTGACCGTATGAAGAATGGACCATATACGAGCTTTCGGATATTATCTATATAAATGTATACGTGTGTATAAATTCACTGAAAATCGAACTTCATTTTTATGCTTCAATAATCCATTTCAGCATATAAATTCAACTCTTCGGCGGCCTGCATAATTAATGTTGTCAATAACATACGCTCACCGATCAACTACTCCAATCCAGTACGGGTTAATTTGATGTTGCCGTTATAATGCCTCAATGTGGTAATGCAGCCTTGTCTCTTACTCGAGTAGTAGCGCTCTTCATTTTTAACGTACCTGATCGCCATCCTGCGACGAATTAGTCGACGAACCTCTCCGGAAGGCAATAAAGTCCATGAAACGGGGTATCACCAAATCCACAGATCCACTCCGATTTAAATAACAGACGTATACCTATACAGAAGTATAAAAAGATTGCCACAATCTATGTACTTCACAATTTCGTCACTGGGTGATACTGCCTGGACACCTCCACTCGAACTTCGTCACACCAGAAGCCTTCAGAATACACTTCACAGTTTGCAAACTTCTCTTTCGTTCCTATACTCAGAGTAGCGTATGTATCCTCCCCACCAAGAGACTTACCGGGGATGGCCTACCGAATCCCGCGGTACCAGCTCCCAGTTCGGCGCGACTGCTCTGGGACTGGCCCACGTTGCGCTGCTAACGGCGACGACGTGATCTGGCGACGTCCGCCGGGAAAGTGACGAAGTCGTGCGGCTGCGACGGATGTTTTGCTACTTCAAAGGATCGACTCTTGACTATTGCTGTTGCCGATCCTTAATGTCTGCCGTCCTGCTTTGGGCCCACCCAGCCAACGTTAATGACGACGGCGGTGACAACAAGGCTGAGCAGCGCTACGAGGCCTGTTGTTCAATCGAACCGCTAAAACTGCTAGCAGCTGCACTGCGTCCACTGCCAATACCACAGCTGATGATGGGGTTCCTGTTCGGCTGCTGGTACGATCGGCAGCAGCCCGATTGCCGTCACGGCTACGGTGGCGGCAGAAAGAAGAAAAACCAAAAGCACCGCTGCAGCGGTCCATCAGCAGACGTTGAGTAGTAACGGTAGTATCGGCGGCAGTAGCAGCAGAGGAGAAGGTAAGGAGTCACCGCAACCGGCGATGAATCTGCGAGGAGCGTGTTGCGCGGCAAGGGAACACGCAGGCACATAGGAAGGGCGGGGAAAAGGCTGAGTTATGGGGGGCGAAGGAATGCTCGTAGAAACATCACAAAGCCAGTGGTGGCGGGTGGCAGCAACAGCAATGACGACAACGGTGGCAGATGCCCCTACATCCTGCGGTAACCCGGCCAGTTAACCTGTCCGTCAATGGTTGCCCAGTCACTTGACCATCTGCTTGCCTATTTGTCTGTCTAACTGTCCGAAGGTCTGTCCGTGTACGACAACCAATCTGTTGATCTATCGCATAGTGAGTCCGTTCGTCTCCGCTTCTTGCTGCTATTGTATTGGCATGCGACTAACGGCGCTAACGGTCACGAGAGTCAACTGTGCTTCTGCCCTAGTTGCTGACTCCGGGTGAACCATGAGATTCGTTGCCGCCGGCCGGCATTGGTGCCCGACAGTTTGTCTATTCATTCTGCGGCCATATAATAACTGTTGTCGTTGCAATACTGCAGCGCTCACTGAAGACTTCACAGCGGCTCATTAAGTGGACATAATAAAAACGACGAGAAAGAGGAAAAAGGAAACATACTGGACTCAGGCAACTGGCTTTCTACGTGGGCTACTCTGAGGGGTTTTGTTTTATGTATTTAGATACATATGTATCCAAATACGCTATAGATACGTAATAAACAATAGGTTTGAACAACGGCTCTTAGTCTCGATGGCTGCCTTGCCGATCAGTGCTACGGACAAATTTTTAACAGGACAAAACTACTTTATCACTAATAACAGCAACAATGCCAATCGCAGTTCCATGGTCCTCTCTGCACATCTCAGTCTATGAAAGCCTTTGTGCAATGACAGACCTAAGCCTGTCGCATTTGAAGAAAAGTACTACACAAAGTCATACCGAAGCAATACAGAAATAGTAAAGATATGATGTTAATACCGTGCATGCGTACAGCTTCACCTTCCCAAACATAGTGATCAGTTTGTACGTACATGCATTTAAAAAATGCACCCGAAAGCGCTTTTTTTTTTAGATATAACATATTAGGAGCGGTAGTGGCAATAGAGCGATCGGTACGAACGACTAATGCTGTGCTGACCGGTACGTACGATCGCTATAATTACCAATCTGTCTTATTACATTTTTTTTTTAACATAATTCAGGTGCGCTTTGAGACCCGATAGGATGCGGAAAATATTCGTCGATATTTTTAAATGTCACTTCGTATTTATTATACATGTGTATTTGTAAAACTTCCAAGTAAAAAATTGAGAAATAACAAGCAAATAAAGAAACAAACAAGATATGTATACCTTGACACGCTCACCGTTAGTAGACTTGAGCGGGCCTGACTTGCTGACCTGGGTTCGCACGTCGAAATCGAATCCCGTTTTGGACTTAGCCATCCATGGCCCATTTCCTCAACTCATTTCGTTTTGCTGATGCTCTCTAGATCGAATCACATCCATATGACTCTTAACTCACAGTTTAGCGATAACGATATCGCACGGACACCCGGTAAAAGCAATAGACATTTTAGTGCGATGCAGATAGGCTACTATAATTTTCCGTTTGTTGAGCTCAAACAAAAACATCGAGCATTGCGATCATTGCACCGCGTCGCATCGCACCGCACCGCACCGCATCGCACTCTACCGTACGCAAAAAACAGCCACAAAAAACCTGCACCACAAGGAAGAAGGATACACACAAAGTTCTTCATAATAACAGGTACACTTACGAGCGAACACCAGTGATACTCAGCAGCAACGACAACGAGGATGACTTCGCAGTACTGCTTCAACTAGTTCAGCTTGATCTTACTGTCAATCTTGCAATAGCGCGACTTATATATGGTTTCGTCGAATTCATATTAGCGTGCCAACGTACAAAGTGTACGGCAGAGCCAGAAGAAGAAACAGGGAAGACGGCCAATCCAATTAAAAAGCTTCGAATGATAGGGAAACAGTAGAATAATATGCAAAAAAGTGGTGCAATGAATTATAACTATATGTAAAAAAAAACTCCTAAAAACCTCTTGGACTACCTGCACTTTTATACGCACCGGATGATACTGCATTGCGTCGACGCAACGTATATTGTTATGCAAAATTGCTAATGGTCACGGTATCTGTCAAAGGAAACCAACAAATAAAGCCATTGATTTGATGTGTATGTGTATGTAGGAGGTGGGAGAGGAACATTATATCCATATGTGTATTTCAACATTAACAAATAATTCTATTTTGCTTATCTAAATAACAATGGTAGACGGTGTACCTTTAAAAGACGCGGCGGATGGTCTATTGTTGTCGTCAAGTTTGTTCTTCTGATATTTCGATCGCCTGGAGAATATCGCAGTAAGGAAAACGGAATCATAATATGATTTTAATCGGAATGGAGGTATTTCTGACGACCTCTAGAGAAAATGTATATACATAAAATGTATTATTATATCCATTAATATTAATTAACTTGATAATAATAGTTAGATCAGAAGATTATAGAGGAACACAATTGGTGAGCATATCGTCATCCAGCTATTGACCTATCGGTGCCCAGCCTAACGACCTGGCGGTCTGTGACCGTAGTAGACAAATGGAAAGCAATCACAGATGTGTATGTGAGCTGTTATACAACAATTTACCCCCGCTTGTTAAACATTTGTCACGGTGCTTATTGGTGCGCTGTGGCATTCTATTTCCACCTCTGGAACCCGTACTACAACAGCTAACAATACCAGACCTGCCATTGCTACTGCGTTACTTCTGCTACTACTACGACAGTTTCAACGTCTTCTACATAAACAACTATAAGAACAGCCGCGGCAGAAGCCACTCAAATGACGATAGGTTTGACAGTTACTATTCACATTTGTTGTCTTCGCCGTGAACTCATTCCTGTCCCGCGATGTAAACACGATAAGTTACGCAATTACGGACAGAGACAGAGCGGCCGGCCGATACTTTCCTACCGGGAGGCAGACAACCAGATACTCTCACATGCCAAGCTTTATCCAGACGTTAACTTGCGCAGCTCAGGTAGCTACTACACGACCCCTAAATCACAAGCAGCGCTATTGCCTTACGCGATGCACCAATGTCACTGGGCCGAACGGCAAGAAAAAAGCAAACTTAAGTTGCCGCCCACGACCCACGACGGCGACAACCCCATTAAATGATTAGGACTGACTGCGCAGTATAATAATTCAGCGCGGTTCGAAATGGCGCCTTCGTTTTGGTGATGTTATGTGGATAGAGCGTTAATAATTTCAATATAAATATATGGTGAGTACAAGTAGACTGGTGAATCGGCTTATGTTCTGCTCCGTTTCATTTACAGATGGAGACGAAAAGGAACAGCGGTTAGTTGCATTGGTACCGTAGAAATTATACGGGGACGATAGTGATCCAGGTCAAAATGTGCGGCCAAAGGGACCTGATATATTACCAGGCCGATTTCTACATATATCTCTATCGAGATTCGATTTCAAGGCTGTGCAATGTCTAGATGCTAACGTGGTCTTCTGATATTCAATAGCGGAAATAGATAACCTCATTCTTATTGACCTGAACGAACAAAGTAAGTAAATAGGATGTTAAGCAAATATAGGCCCTTCAGCACGTTGAAGTTCCCTCGTATGTTAAATGTTTCGGTAAACATTGTATTACATAGTATACCTTTTTGGACTACATCTAAGTTATAAGCTCATTAATTGCAATTTTTCTGTAGTAACTAACCTGTTGCATACATTAAGTAAGGCCTTAGATATAGCTTGTCACCAATGGCCGTACCCATTCATCCATTATGTATGGTGTAATTTGGCTATCCACCAATGCATCCACAAGCTTAAATAGAATTAGGACCGCGTTTTTTCAAATAGAAAAATGCATAAAGCCTACTATGCAAATATCACGTATCGGTAGCCCAGTAACTTGAACGCGATTTGTTATGCTGTTGTATATATATATATATATGGAAGCGTACAGTCAATAAATACAATATGCATTTAGATAAATTAGGCTAAAAAAGAGATTAAGAATATATATCATTATATGCTACATGAAATAGCGCATATAATAACAGATTTTTTTAATTCTGTACCACCACACGTTCCATGTAATGTCTAATGCTGTTGTGATATGAGTAATGAGGTATATTTGTACATCGTGGGGACCTTTCCTCATCCGCCCTGTGGGTGCAGAGCCTACAACGAAAAACGAGTTAACACTATGTAAGGAACAGTACTAAAGGACAAATCAGTCTAACAAGGTTTCTAGTTCATTTCGTAATCCGCTTTTGCGAAAAAGTCGACATAATTTAACGGCCCCTAATTGCATGTATGCTCGGTACATCGTGGTTCTTCCCGACCATGAGAAGGTTTCCGCCTATACTATCCACTTGATGACCTCAGCGTGAGTGCTACCACTGAAGGCAACATAAATATCCTTGCTTTGACATTAGCGTCGTAGGAAAGAAGCTTTACAAATCAAACCCTCATGTTCACTTCAAGCGGGGGAGCAGGTGATATATTTTTAACACCATGAGCTGCGCTTTCAGGCGAGTACATTTGTAACCGATACATATCTTATTGTTTTCAATGAGCGTATGATATTATATACATATAGTGACAAGATGTAAATATAAGCCAGTGGTTTGCCACAGACATTCGGGAAAAAAGCTACAATTCGGAAGAAACTTAAGTCGGACTTGTTTCTTGCGATTTCATGGCGAGTTTATAGTTTACATCACGTACCCTTAGCCTGGACCACTGGTGAGATTTGACGATTAAACGGCCATCAATTTCGTCGGAAGACGTATCACTCATATATAGTTTCGAGCCGTCATCAACT